ATCTATCTATCTATATATCTATCTATCTATCTATCTATCTATCTATCTATCTATCTATCTATCTATCTATCTATCTTCCCCTCATTCTCGCACCAATGTCGACGTGTGAATACACGGAGCGGGAGCACCGCCACGAGAGGGCGCTGTTATTAATCGACAAGCCGACGCAGGTTTCTGCAAACCAGACGTCGTGCGACGACGACCCGGTCGCCGCCGACACCGACGCGCTCTTCCTCGTCACGTACGCCGTCGTCATGCCGACGCTGTGCTGCGTCGGACTCGTCAGCAACGTCGTCAACCTGTGCGTGTTGCGTCGCGGCGCCGATGCGGTCGCCACCGGTACCGCGCGCGCTGTCGGCAGCGGCGTCGGCTGCTTCGCGTCGCCCGCGTACGTCTACCTACGCTGTCTCGCCGTCGCCGACCTCCTAGCGATGGCGTTTTGTCTGCCGATGGCGGCGACGCGCGCGGTCGGGTCGCCGTACGCCAGCCGCTGGGTGGCGCTCTACACGGCCCGCCTCAGCCTCTTCCTCGTGAATGCTGCGATCGCTGCCAGTAATCTTCTCGTTCTCGCCTTCACGACGGAGCGCTACGTCGCCGTGTGCCGACCGACGGTCACCAGGGGGCGCACGCATCGCGCCAGCCGCGTCGTCGCCGCGGTGATCGGTATCTACAGTGTCGTCGTCGCGACGCCGGAGCTGTTCGCGTGGCGCGTCGAGGACGTCGGTGGCGCCACCTACGCGGTGGTTTATAACGGCGGGTATTTGGAGAGCGTGTGGCTGTGGTTGGTGTGGCCGTGGCTGAAGGAGATGACGACGAAGATGATGCCGATAGCAGCCGTCGCCGCGATGAACCCGCTGATCGTACGTCGCTACCGCCGTCGGGCACGCACCAGCGACGACCGACGACGCGCGCGCGACGAGCGGCGCCTCCTGGTGGTGCTCGCGGGAGTCTGCGCGGCGTTCGTGGTTCTGTCGACGCCGTCGGCCGTGGCGACGGTGATGTATAACGACGCGCGCATGCGCAGTTACGCGTTCGTCGTCTTCGTCTGCGTGAGCAACTGCATGGAGATCGCGAACAACGCGCTCAATTTCTACGTCTATAGCGTCGCGAGCTCCGACTTCAGACGACACTTGCGCCACCTGTGCGCCTGCAATAAGGTGGCGCCATCTATGGAGACGAGCGAAACGAGCGTCGAGGGATGAACTAGATCACGTTATTATAATTATTGTTATCGTAATCATTACCATCATCATCATCATCATTATCATCATCATCATCATCATCATCATCATCATCACCATCACCACCATCATCATCATCATCATCATCATCATCATCATCATCATCATCATCATTATCATCATCGCTTAGATTCCCCTCGAGATCATATCAGCGCAGCGCGGGCCGGAACCTCGCGGGTGAAGCATGGCGAAGGTGGCGGAGGGAGGAAAGGAAGAGGGAGGGGGGGAGGCGCCCGCGCGTGTATGGGATAAGCCGATTTTAATCATGAGAATGTTTGACAATTATTGAACTTGTAGAATTAATCACGCGATCGGATATCTCAAGGATTTGTGAAAATTGTTGAGCGGAATCAGATTTCGGAAATTAATATGCATGGGTTATTAGAATTATCGATTGACCTATAATTATATATATATATATATATATATATATATATATATATATATATATATATATATATATACTAGTA